TCCTCTATATTTATAAAAGCCAGCACACACACATCGCTTATATAATCCCCTAAAAATTAATTGCTGTTAACACCTTGACATAAATCTATTTTTTTTTATCATTTTATTTAATATCGTGATATAGCATATAGCAACAAATAACAATACAATTTTGATTTGTATGAACAGTAACAGTTTTAGACATATTGTTTTATTTAATTGCGACAGTATATAGTAACAATGCAATTTTTATTCGTACGATCGATAACATTTCTAGACATATCTATTAACCCTTCACTGGCATCATGAAATTTTCGATCATGGCTTGCAGTTTGAGGTGTTAAGAGTTACTACCATTTTTTTTATTGTTTCGGATTATATAAAAATCTGAAAAAATTCTTGTATACTTGTGAAACTTTTAACAAGTTTTTACAGTAATAGAAGTTGGATTGTAATTTATTAATTTTTTTATATTTTGAGATCGGAGTTTGTAAGAGATTTGAAAAAACGTGATATATGGGTTAAAAATTCATAACTTTTATATGAGTAAATGAAAAGAAATCCTTTTAAGCTATAATACTGAAGGATATGTACTTAAAAAAAAATAAATGTTAGCTTTAAAAAGTTGAATTATTTGAGAACATAAAAATAAAAATTTTTATGAGTTAAAAAATGTAGTAAGACGCAGACGTTTCTTCTATATTACAAAAATCTATTAACACAACATTTTTTAATATTAATATAAAAAATATGTAAAGTGCAAAAATATATTTATAAAAAAAATATACATTCATTGGCACAAAAAATAATAACAAACGTAGAAAAATTAATTTTTAAACAAAATTTCTATAACCGTTGAAATTATCATAAAAAACATGTAAAATACGAAAAAGAATAAAAAAAGTTTTAAAATAAATACTTACGTGGATTGCACTTTGGATCATTGAGGGTGTAGACACGACTTTTACTCGTCCTTGCAACGAAACAAATAACTGCATTGGCGAGTACACATACGAAATCATTATCATCGAGTTTTTTTAGGATGTGATAGCGAACTCTGCCATCTGTCCATTTTCTTAAAAAGTTCACAATTAAAATATCGACTGTGCCTTAAAAATTTCACGGTGCTAGGTAGAGAGTTAAATATGAATATTTTATATTATCAAACACACACACACACACACACACACACACACACACACACACACACACACACACACAGTATTTTAAATACACTTCCATATTATCGCATTATAATATGTACAATAATAATACTTTGGCATATTTGAGGCTGCGAATAAAGGATTGAGATAAGGTGAAGTGAAATAAGCAATTTAATCCGCGATTAATTTAACAAAATCGGTTTTATTGAGCTCTTGGATTATATGTCTTCGGAGTTTAACAATCAAATCTTTTCTATGCTTGCGAGATTGCTCGCTCGTTCTCAATCTCTTCGAGATATCCCGGTAAAAAATTGTTTATGCATGAATCTAAAATAAATAAGGCGAAAATTACCTTTTTAATTATTTTTAATATTTTCACATTACTATTATTATTTCTATTATACTAAAAAATAATTTTACAAAAGAAAAAAAGATGTATGAACATGTATAGATATATTTTATATATAATTATATGTTTGTGAATATTTATGTGTGTTTATGTATGTTTATACACATTTATACATATTCATACATGAAAAATTTTTTACCAGGATCTTTCTTAAATAATCAAGATTTTTTTCCGCGAGTTATCGTTATTTATCACACGTGTACAATTTAAAATAAAGATATTTAAGCTCTTAAAACAGTTATTTAAATGTCGAGAATGAAAATTATGGAATTGTTTTATATATTTATTTTAACTGAGCGACATACTGTGCAAAAAAAAGTACTTGTCAAGTGTCAACAGAAATCCGAAAATAGAAAATGCGTTTAAATGCCTATAGTCTTCATGGAAACTGAGTCGGTCGTATGTACAAGTAATGTTATGTATTTATTCGGACCTTGCAATTTTAAGCCGAGTCGTGGTGATGTAATAATCGGAACAATACATATATTAGAAACGCCTTTGATTTGTATTAAAATCTAAATTTATGGAATATAATAAGTGTAATGAAATTGAAAATCATTCTTCCGGAAATCAAACGAACTTTATTAATTACGATTAATGAAAAGGGATAAACACTTATTAAAAACTGAGCATTTTAGCAACAATTAAAATACACACCTTTGGAGAAAGATTTGGCAATCTCTTCTCACATTGTGACTTTAATTTGTACATGTCCATCGACATTTAAGAAACCAACTCTTGTGTGAATAATATTGATGTTAACAACCACTCGTGTTGGTAACCTACTGCGCATTGCGTTCATCTGCAGGCCAAGAACCCCTAACGTCGGCTTAGAACGCAGGGTTGTAATTGATGAACAAAACGCCCCGTGAAGAATTCATCGTCAAATATAGCTAAAATATTAAATAAAACATTAAATAAAAAAGAATGATATAATAAAATCAATAAAAATCACGTATTTTTTTCTTATATGACATTAAATATATATACAATTTTACAATTTATCTTCAGATTTTTATTTTACATAGTAACATTTTTATATTGTAAATTATTATAAGATCTTATAATATAGATATAAATAAAAAAGAAGTTTATAAATTATAAGCACAACTTTATCCTTTTTTTATGTATTTAATATGTTATTTATTATATAATAATTTATGTTTTAACAACATCTCCTATATTATTTAAATAACCACATTGGGATAATAAATTCTGAGGCTACATATTTTATATTAGATTGATCGATAATAATAAAAAAAAATATTTCACGTGTAAAAATTGAGTTGAGATGGATGCAAGTATACAGCCATGGTGACAAATTATATTCTAGTATCGACGTATGGCTTCTTAGTTATTTAAATGTGGATTAGCCGACTTCATACTTGTCTTGATATTACGATTCGGGTTGAGAAGATAGTCACGAATTGACCTTTTCTTAGTATTAGAAATTTATTGCTCGACCTCCCTTAATCAGATCATTCAACTACTGCGTTTCGCATAATTGAACCGGACAAATTGATTTCCGTGTCTGGAATTCGTTATTTCTTCCTTTCCTCTCTCTCTCTCTCTCTCTCTACGGAAATCGAAAAGCAGGTATATGCTTTTTATTTGCATTTTTGCAAAGAAAAGTTTGTGATAAGAAAAGGAATTTTATATGAATTTTATATAGAACTATACATCTAGAAAATATATATGTAAAATCTTATAATAATTTACATTGTTAAGAAAACAAAACATATAGAAAATAATTACTAAACGTATAGCTAAAAAGATATTTGCAATGCACTAGAACGAAGTTGAAACCTGGGAATATATTGAATACCTATAAGAAGTTTATAATTGAAAACTTATAATTAAAATTGAATACTTTTTAAGCTATTAAAATATAAAATAAATATTTTTTACTTATCTATTTTTGAAATATTAAATGCTAAAAAGTCAAATTTTTTATATAATGTTTGATAATATATTTAATCATTATATTACTTTCTTTTTAATGATACTCTACTTTTTCGGTTTTAGCTATTAATTTAAATAAGAAAAACAGGGACATCTAAATAATATGTGCATAAATAATTTAAATAAAATGTATAAACATTTTAATAATTGTAAGAAAATATTATTTAAGATTTTTCGTCGATGCCATCTATCTATTTCAAGAGCAACATTATTAAAAGTTTATCGATGAAACATTTACTATTAATATGATTACTAAAACAATATTTTATTTACTTACTAGCATAAAATTATTTATCAACAAATAGTATATGAATGAAAGACAATTATTTTTTATGTAACATTTTTCTCTGGTAACATTATGTATTTACCTTATTATTGAAGATATTATCTACTGATGATAGAACCTTATTTACCGGTAGAAGTTTATATGGGGCCTACATAAAAAATGTTTTAATAACTTTCCTTACTTATCTACTTCTTTCTTACTTATCAAAAATATATTGTAGATTATGAAATAATTTATCATCATATTACAATAATATAATGCGTCTTTAGTCTTGTGATAACGCAACTTTTTGCATTTGTATCTAAACAAAAAAATAACATACATTTCAATCATTAAATTATGAATTTTTTATTATGTTAAAAGAATTAAAAATTTGTATTGATAATTACAATTAAGCTATACATAAATATTATAAATGTAAAAAATATAAAAATAATTTATCATTAAAGAAATAGTTTTTATATAATATTGGATATATCAGCAATTCAGTTTAGAAATGTTTATCCCAAATACTATTTAACACCATCTTTAAGAAGATATCTATAAATCTCTTGCTTTCAAGGTCTCGAAGAGTTAATAAGTGACTAGATTGTGTGTGAACATTCTTTATATCCAAGGGGGTGAATAATATATGTATAAGTATACTGGTAAACACTTGAAACAAATTATGTAAGCCTTTAACTTATAGAAGTATAGCTCAGAGACAGTTTAAGTCATAAAGTACAAGGTGCACATACGAAGAGAGAATAGGGAAAAATTGCTTGGGAAGGCTACTTTCACACATATTTGCATAAGTGGCTGCATCTAAAATTTAATAGGGAACAGAAGGGGCACTTTTGAAACGTATCATCTTATCTTGGTTAAGGATGTATTAAAGATGAGTTAGACGAATTACATGAAACTTTATTATTAATGACTTACTTTATTAAATTACTTTATTATTAATGATTTTAATTACCGTTATCTTTAACATAAATGTGCTTTAAAATTATAATTTTAGAAAAGTAGAGCAAAGAATGTTTGAAAATAATGTATGGAACTTATTGTTTTATGAGTTTATTTAGAAATATATAAAAATAAATTACATACAGCTACTACATACTATATATTCATCTCATAAATATACAGAGCATTTCTGTTATAAAAACAAATTAAAGTTATATTTTTAAGAAATATTCTTACATTAATTGTTTTTTGTTACAACAGTATTTCAAATATTTACACTCATTCCTTGCAAATCTCTAATCGCAATAAGAATTAACTTAATATGAGCGTTAGTTCTTGCAATAGCTTTTCGTAAATTCGCTATTTGTTGCTCAAGTAACGTGATCCGTATATTTATAACGATTAAAGCTTCATCCAAAGTGAATTCAATATAATGTCCTAAACCAACATCCAATAAAATCTTAGAAGCATCTAGAACGTGTGCTTGAATGAAGAAATTATTTCGAATATCGACTTTAGTCTTGAAACCAGTTTTTTCAACGTTGGTATCTTGAAACGTCGTTATCACTGATTTCAATTGTAAAAATTCGGCAACGTCAGCATTTTTAGTGTTAAGTTTTTCAGCCAGTTTTGCAAGATCGGCTTTCAGCACGTCATTTATGAAGGTCTCAAATTGTAAGATCTTCTGTTGAATTTGTGGATCCATAATTAAGCTCTTGCACTATAAAATACAAAAAATGAGATTAGTTTACATATATATAAAACGTAGCGAATGAAAAATTCAAACATTAAAATCAGACAAGATGCTTCAGTATTTTCCCACTGAAACTGTACTATGTAATTTGCACATCTCTGGAGATTTGTACCCTGATTTTGTAATTTTTAACGACAGTGTCGATCATTATGTTGTGGTTACATAGATAGTATCCTTGGTAAAAAAGCTGGGCAAAAATAATATAACAATGCTGAACTGTCGTTACAGAATAAGTATACTGAATAAGAATTTGAAAGATAGAAAATTTCTGTTAGACACAGCAATGCAGGAGACTGCAAGTGGGTTTGATTCCAATAGCCTAAGGAATTTTCTGAATGGAGCATTCGCCGTTTGGTTTCACAATAAAAAAAGTGCCTTACCAACCATGATGATTATTAACAAGTTAGTTGATTCCAATGTCTGAATTTTTCATCTGCTACATTTCATTTGACTGCTCCTAGTACGTATAAAGAGAGAGAACAGATAGATTTAACAGATAGATTTTATAGATAGATTTAAATAATATGATGTTCGGAACGCGCAAATATCCATATGGTATACAATCGTGTAGAGGTGTAGAGTAAGGAATGAGGAAAACAAAGTATAAAAAAATAATATGTATTATATTAAACAAAAGAACGTCATCAAACGTATCTCGCTAGAAGAATAGGTTATGTCACATCTAACAATTATACACACGTTTTGTTTACATTTTGTTTTGTATGATGATACCAATATTACTCACATTATCGGATTTAGGTTAAAATGTGCCAGAGTCAAAGAAAATCAAACTATAAATCTTTTTAGTAAATACAACATTTTTACACTATATTGTGATAATCTGACCATGCGTCGCATTATGCGATATTTTGATCTAGCGGAATTATCAATAAACAACACGTTCAGTGATGGTGAAGCAACAGCTGCTAAGGAAGATTCCGACCAGATTCTAGTCTGTCGATTTTTTAGATAAAAAAATATTTCTTTAAAAACCATTAATTCTTATTGTATACATATTTCTACTTTTAATTATTTATTTCGTATATCAATAATTTTTTACACTATGCATATAGTATAAAAATGCATCAAATATTAAACAAAATTTATTCTTAATTTAGTATTTTTAATTAAATACATATTTATATATTTGTACATATTAATATTTGTTTTTAACTAAATGCTTTGATATAAATAGTAATTTTTTAATGATAAAATTTATGTGTAATATTACCTGGATTGGAAGGTATATGTATAATAAGCAGATTCTTACAACAACCACACACAATGTTATGAGTTGCACATTCTGCATATTTTATATATATATAAAGAAACACCCTTTATTTCTCAGAAACTAACTATCGCATTTTATTAAAATTGATAAAAACATAATTTGTTTAAATAATTAAAGAAGTAAAAATTTATAATTTCTAATAAAAAAAATTAACATTTATAATGTGTTAAATTTATCATAGAATTTATAAACAATGATAAACAATTAGCAATTAACAAAAAGGCAATTGGGAATTAGCACTGTAAACGGCAGTTTACTTTGAAAAAACTTTATCTCAAATAAAAAGAATTAATTTGTATATGTTTCAGCTAAATTTTTAGCTTTCTTCAGCCAAAACAAACTTATTACAGTAGAATGTTATCCATTAGTTGCAATCCAAACCAAAAGAAAAAGAAATAATTACAGTAAATTGTTGTCCGGTCGAAATCATTGTGAGGTGGTAATCATTTCTCCCATTATAGGGTAAATTCTCCAGTTAAAAGGATGATAGTGAACAACTAGGAATCCCACAAAGATGTAACCAACGATTATAATGTAAATCGTAAAATATAGATTATAATCGTAAAATATAATACAGTTACAGGCAGGCGTTGTCAATGAATAAAATCATGTTGAAATGAAAGAAATGGTGATCCACAAATTGTCAAATTATGTTAATAATTAACACGAGAAAAACTAAGTTCGATACGAAATAAGATAGTTTTGAAATTCTAATGCAGAATAATATGGCAAATGAGAGAAACGGTGTGGTAAATGGAGCAGATTTTTAATATATTTGAACTATGAATGTATTACATTATTTTGTTATTTATTCTTATTGTTATTTATTCACTTACTCGTAAATTATATTTACACTATTAAATATACTTACACTATTTTCACACTAAGAAATGTTGCATATTAATTTCATTCAAAATATACAAATAACAATCATATGTAAAATTAACTCAAATATATTAAACATTTAACACAAAATTTTAACAAAGATATGAATGGATCGTTCAATACAAATATAAAATTTTTATTGTTTACAAAATTTTTTTAATCGATAAAATATATTAAATTTTATTTGATAGGTATATATAAAGTAAAGTTATTATTCTATTACGAGATACCTTTTTTTAAAGGCTTGTAATTTATTTAATTTGTAACTTAAATTTCTGCTTTTATGTCAAATTTATGAGAAATATATTGAACAATATGATTGGAAACAAGACCATTTATGTTAAATATTTTAAATACGAAGTGCCATTACGGTCTGAATATTAAGATGTTGAATTATTATGTATATTCATTTAAATGAATTAAATTAGATTAAATTTGGGAAATCAGGGGGGATTATTAATATTTTAGATTGATTGCGTTGAAAGTCCGACAACCATATCGGCACGCAATTATCATTTCTGAAATTAATTTATTTAAATGAATATACATAATAGTTCAACGTCTTAACATTTAGACCGTAGTAGCGCTTCGTATTTAAAGAAATATATTTAAGTTTTATCGCCAAAAGTAGCAATCGATAATAGCTGTACTTGTTGTATATGAAATTTTTTATCAAAAGTCTAATCATAATAAAATTTGACTACATTCAATTTTATAAATATTTTTTTGCAACGACTACACACACACACACACACACACACGCATGATCTAATAATAAATTTTCTACTGAACAGGTTTCACACTAAGAGTAAAAAGTTCCTGATAGAACTAAATATACGCGCTTATTAGTTTAGCAGAAACCCCGCTATCTCATATCAGGAGCTTATCCCATAATAAGCGACCTTATTCTATGATAACGTAATGATTATGCGTATACGTAAATTATCATAGAATGACACATTATTTATTTCGTTAAATAAATCGCATAACGAGATTTCGGCAATAACAGATAATATAATTCAACGTAGGGAAAAGTATGCATAGTATAATGAAAACTACTGGCTTTGAAATAGACTGAAAAAAATATAATATATATGTAATCGGGTTGAGGACAGCAACATATTTTTAAGAAGCTTTCCGATTAATATAGTAATATTTTTGTAACTAATTTGATAAGGTTACTACGACGAAATCGAAACTCATACCTAATTTTGTAATTAATAAAAGGATCGATACATGAGGGAGTATTTTCGGCGTAAGGAGAATGTTTTCTGTCCTGAAAAATAAAGTATTGTATCATTTCACCAGTGAAATACGATTGCAGAAAAAGTAACCATTTTCCATGGCAGCACGATTTTATTTTTGTCAAACTTTTTTTTGTGAACATATTCATCTGACCGTTTCATTCCTTGTTTCATTCTAACATGGAGAAAAAAACATAGACAATCTCATGATACGTCTCGCTCACGCTGTTCTGCCGTGACTTAGCAAAGTATTTCGAATATTCGTTTTGGAATTACTCGATATAAAGGTCTGTGTTCTTCTGTTTAAGATCCATGCAAAAACTTTCATCCACATTTATGCGTAACGGCCGATGGGGCCGTCTCAATGTTGTATTTTGCCTCAATATTATTTATCGTTTCTTTTCGTTCCGCGGCATAACGATTGCTTAGTGTCGGTGACTGGCATTCAATGTCGCGGTACATTCTTGTGGCGAGATTTCTTCAACAATCACCGGCAATATTACGAGTTGCCATTCCTGACTGTCATGATAGGATTTGTTACGGGCTCTTACATGACCCTATGTATATTGCTTACATATTTTTATGCTATTATTTGCAGTTTTCATCTTTCATAATAAGAGCTCTGTTAAATTTTTAAATCAGTTTTATTTTGATTTTAGAGTATTTGTAAAGAAAATAATCTTCTTATAAAAGATATGTTACCACTTAATTTAACAGATTGACTATTAAGATTTTTAATACTAGTTCTCCAGATATTTGCTATGCGACAAAACGATTTCGTTTAAACACCAATCATTTCACTCGGTTTTATTACATACTTTTGTATCTCTAGCGGGAGATCGGCGAACGACGCTACTAATTGCAGAAGCTACCATGTGACAAAATGTTTACAATGAAATATTATAATGACGTCTAAGCTGTTCATGTCTATTTGCTTTATCACTAAAGTAAATTTGCATAGTAGTTTGAGCGCGCGAACAATAATCGGCGGATTTCGCGATTAATTAATCGAATCCATCGCCAGATAAGAAGACACTGTTACTGATGAATTGATATCGCGTCGGAAAGGGCATTGCACGCATTCTCTCACGGCCATGGCATTCAGGGCCACGTGCTGGCTTTATGGACCTCATAACCGGTATTCAAGAAAATACGAACGTTTTCTTCCTCTTGTGGCGTTGACGGCGACATTAAGGACATAACTAGCACTTACTGCCCGTTTATAAGAATTCCATTTAATTTCTTATCTCTGGTGCGCAGTTCGCGCAAGCATCGAAAGCGTAGGTGTATCGCACCCTTTTACGAGCATTGCATACTAAGATGGCTTGTCAAGACTGATCTGACAGCATCCGCGATATAACCTGTGATTTACATCGCAGATAATATTTTAGTTGTACTTTTAGCGATTTCATAAATTATCAATATCTTGCAATTTGCCTTTTAAACCAATTAAACCAAGTAAACCAATTGAATGTATAGTAGAGAGTACGAATATTAACTTTCGGTCTTTAATTCTTTTTATAAAAGATGATCTCCAAACTGCATAAATGCTCTCTAAATCTTTTAGAATAAAAATTGAGCCAGTCTTGGAAAAAGTGTGAAAATATTTTCAAATAAAGAGAAAGTCTTTAAAAAATCCTTAAAAAAGAATGGTAGATTTTCATTTGGAGTGAGATTTTATTCTTTTGAAATGAAATCCCTTCTAAGAAACGAAATTTTCGGAAAAAGAAATGGGATTTCATGGATGAATCTTATTTCAAACGAATAAAATCTCTAGATTTAGTCAGTACTGGTAGTCAATTTTGAAACGGCCTACATCCGATTTAGAAGTACATGATCATAAATTAATAAATTTCCTTGAAGCCATTATTATCAAATGAATCATAGAAATGTTAGTATAATATTTTTCTTTATATTTAGTACTTAATGTTTATAGTATAATTATCTACATTTTAGAGTCATTCCGTTTAGCATCATGATATATTTGATGTATTATATGTTAAATTTAAGATAAGTCTATCGATATTACTAAGAGCTAATCGCTCAACGTATATACTATGTTACGTGATTGATAACATATATATAATACTAAAAATAAAGAGGCATTCTTACTTAAGGCATTTTGACAAAGCAATAACTGAATTAAATTCAACAATATTTCTCGATTAGTTTAATGATACAGCCTATCATTTTGTAGAAAAATCATTACCGATCATAAACGCCACAGGTAAATTTTCTTATATATTTTTTTCGCGTCGAGGGATCATCAGCCCTTCCTCCTTACTTTTCTTCGCGAATAACACCATATCCGTTCAGTTGATATGCGTGACCTGCGAATGCACGTGATGAATGTGTATGTGTATGATGTGCATTAAGTGGAAACAGTGTGGTGCAAGCGCGTAACTGAGCGCAAGTTGCGCAGATTCGCGT